CAAAGAATTTCCGTTTTGCTAATAGCCATTTAAGAAGAGCAGGGAAGGAAATTAAATTAAGAATACAAGAGGAAAGCCTGAGCATTGCCCCACACAAGAGCTGAGGACTGCTGGAACAGAAAATTAAGTCTCATTTTCAGTTGCTGTGTGGATCAAAAGAAACCCTACACTGTAGATTCTGAGCTATAATGGACACAGTTAAGTAAAGCACAAATAAATAAACGAAATATCAAATTATCATTAAGAATCTTTGTAACCCCATAGCTATCTAGATATAATTCGCCAACTGAAGAATTAACTCAGCGATATATACAGGGTGTTTCACAACATTAGGGCATAACTGCAGGAGGTGATTTCCTACGTCTTTGTAATCAAAAAGGTTCCTATAAACATGTGTCTGATTTTGGACGGTTACGGAGTTATGACCGTTTTTTCATTCCCGTACACGCCCTCGTGTGAACCGCGTCTATCATCTGGCGGGTCGCTATTTTTAGCCAGCTACAGACAGAGGGTTCTCGTTATCTCGACACTTGAGAGGTACCTAAGGCGTGGTGGGTTGGTATGTCCGGCGCGGTTTACACGAGGGCGTGTACGGGAATGAAAAAACGATCATAACTCCGTAACGGCCCAAAATCGGACACATGTTCGTATGAACTTTTTTGATCACAAAGACCTAGGAAATCACCTCCTGCAGTTATGCCCTAAAGTCGAGAAACACCCTGTATATATATATGTATGTATATATATATTTGTTTTCTAGCTCGGCAGATCTCAAAATAATTATTCTATATATATATTCAGAGGAGCTTCAATTACAGGGTCAATTATTCATCATTATGTTCGTCTATAACCTATCGAAGAATTACACTTAAACTGTGAACAAATATCGCCGATTTCCTTTCATCCTTGTTCTAATTTAATCATTCAATTCGTTTAAAGTTCTCGAATCTCAGTCGATGAAATTTCGCTGCTGGGTGTTATAGGTTACGTTAATTAGAGTTTGTGTCAGGAGTTTACTAGCTACCGCTTGCGTAACACTGGGCTTGAATGAAGGTTTCAAACGATATTTCCGAAAGCTTTTATTTCCTTATCTAATTTTTTGATCACTTCCTTGTCTGAATACTATTTTTATTGTTAGTGGGGTGAGACTAAGTCCCTTGTACTGCGGCCACTTCTGGCCTATTGTACCAGCCCCACATGATAGGTGAGGGTGATTGTGGAGCAATTGGTGGAATGAAGATTGGCATGGGAAACCAAAGTACTCGGAGAAAACCTGCCCCAGCGCCACTTAGTCCACCACAAATCCCACTTGACCAGACACGGGATCGAACCAGGTCCGCCGCAGTGAAAAGCTAGCGACTATCAGCTTGAGCTATGGCGCGGCCCTATCTGAATACTTAACTTTCAGAAATTAAGTAGTAGGATATGAGTAGATATACTACCACAGTCAATAAGTTCATGGAAGGGCCCCAAAGCGTCGTACGGAAATTTTCTGCCAATATATTTCAGCAATGATTTCGGCAGCTATATCAACGTTTGCAGACTTGCATAGCAGCCAACGGTAACTATTTTGAGGGCCGATGTGGATCTGCGTAAGTGTATGTAAATACCTTGTAATAGAATGCAATAAAACCACACTCCACGAACATAATGACTCTACCACGTATATCATTGATATAATAATTGGTTTCGGATTTGATAACTCGTTTTATTTGATAATTTCACACGTCGTAACTACAATTCGTTTTTAAGCTTTCAAGACTGCTGTATCTGTGACACACAAACAATTATAACACTCTCAAGGCTAACACATCAACTACTGAACTGCCTTGAACGAAGTCTTACTAACGAATCCTCGAATCTTCCAGCTTACAACTGCTGGACCGAACTGAACTGAACTGAACTGCCGGCGTTATTCTGTAAACCTCGTTATACAGCCTCCGCACGGACCACGCACGGAAAATCCAGTTCTACTGTTGCATAAGGAAGACGACACAGAGAACAAGTCACGTGATTCCTAGCCAACGTTCTCATTAGTGCGCTGCTGCCCAGCGACGCGCAGTATCACTCGTCCACTGAGACACATCTTTCACTGTTGCACAATAACCGCGTTTACCGAACAGTTGCCTAGAAACGCTTTGAGCAAATCCATTACAATATGAAGAAACAATTTGTCTAAAATAAAAATTGTGACGAGTTTTGTCTTATCGGATAGAACGCCGTTTGACACATTTAAAGTTAACCGATGTTTCGCAGGAATATGCCGTTTCTTCTACGGGTGCGAAGAATAAGCCAAGAAAGAAACTAGCATGAAGCAGGTAGCAACGAAAGCAACCCACTTGCAGGATGCTTGGGCTTGTATAGGTAACTTAAGACACCCTGTTAGTTCCCACTGGCTCTCTCAGAGAACCAGTAGGAGACAAAATAAGAATATCTAGCTGCGATATGCTCTTCCGAAACGTCGGATGGCTTTCAACGTACTGCACGGAGTTATAATCAGGAAGACTGAACTCTTCATCTTAAAAAACTGACATTCACATGATATAAGAAGGGGATAACTGAATATGAAACTGAAAGCTGCAGATCTTTCCTGGAAAAAACTGACGTTTATAAAGATGGTCAATATAATCTACGTGCAAATATGATCAAAGTTTGTTTATTTAAACTTTGAAATACAAACATTTGATGAGGACGCCTGCAAGTTTTGGCAGGTAGCCAGGCGAGACTCATCCATTTCACAAAATATGCAGCTTCATACACATACATCCGCAACTGAATTCTATATTGAGCCAGTTTAATCCATTTCACGCTTACTTAACATTGATTTTGGTAGTATCCTGCCAGTCCGAAGTCTACCAAACGCTGTGTGCAGTTTTAATGTGTCACATATATGTTGCGTGCCCTAAGTTTCGAAGGTCAATGATTTTAAACATGTGTGAAGAGACCAGTCCTCTCGATATAACGCCGCTTAGTCCGCTAAAATATAAGAGACGTTTCGGAGGAGTATTTCGCCTAAATCTTCAGAACCAAAAAGAGTGTGGTATGAAACCATGATGCAGCTGTTAGCAATCAGCTGTCAATGTTGCCAAACAGCATATATCAAAAGAGGTTATATAAATTAAAGTAATGAAATTCCATAGAACTGGTGCACTTGAAAATTTTCTAAAACATAAAACATTTAAGTATAAATCTAACATACTCAATTAGAGGTATCTGAAACGGTAAAATCTGTCCTTTCATAAATATTCATCCCGAATTTTCTGGCACAGCAATAATTTCGCTTGTTCAGGAATTTCTGAAATTTCGGCCGAGGCATGTTGATTATGGTTTTTATGGGTTTCCTTAGTCCCTCCAGGCAAGTTCCGGAATAGTACATAGATTAGGTCGCGACTGTTTCATTCAAAGTCCTTTCCAATTCATCATTCAGTTGTGGGCCTGCCATTCAAATCTACATACGGAGAGCTCGCGATATGTGTACACAGGTTTATGTGTTTTCACGAAACGAGATCAATAAACTTTGCCTTTGCTTTGTTTTCATTTAAATGTTCATAATGTCATAAAATAGGGCCATAACCGGACAGAAGTTTGGAACATAAAGTAATAGATGAAGGATTTCCTGATGGAAGGAGTGGAAGGAGTTACAGGCATATTGGAAGGAGGAGGAGGATGTAACACAAGAACAGCAGTGCGAGTACAAGTTCAGACTACGGAAGTAATCAGTGTCAGAATGATAAAATGATGGAAGAAATTAGCCTAAACATTAGCCGGAAGAAGTAACTGGAGATCATGGAGGTCAAAGACCTAACACAAAAACAATTTCGATTACTTTTTTTATAATGTTGTAAAACGAATATGAGAAAAATTATCTGTAGTAGGATTAAAAAAATAAAAATAAATTATAATATTAACCGGAGGACGAAGACAATTAAGATATCCATAATGTGTATATATTAACCGTCTTTTAGTGCATACAATTTCACTTGTCACTTCATACTAGATGTTTCGGCATCATTCTGCCCTCCTCAGGTCTATTAATCACGTTAAACCATTGCACTGCCTGCCATCAAGTGTCCATTTATAAAATGATATAAAATGTGTGTTCGTCCTTGTTGAATAATAAAATGTATATGTTAAAACTTGTTAAGATCTATCATCTTACATGTCGTATATCACACAATTAAGATAGTACGAAAGTTTTGGTTCCACTGCACAAAAACTGTAGTAGGTAGAGATAAACTTGTCCCTGTGAAGTTAGTTGCTGGCTTTCCACTGCGGGGGCCCGGGTACGAGCCCGGGGTCTAGTCAAGTTGGATTGGTGTTGGACAAAGTGACGCTGGTGTACATCGATTTCCCCTGCCAATCTTCATTCCACCAAAATTCTCAGTTATCATAAAAACCCGGTTCAGGTACAATAGACCAATCAGTGACAGCCTTGCGGAGTGCACCCAACTGGACTACACCCCCCACTATGCGAATTAAAAAAAATTGCCCTTCTGCTTGATTAATTAAACATCAATTAAGCAGCAAGTCATGAAGACGTATGGGAGAGCAGGTATAAATCTGCCATTTTCGACCTCTGTACTAGATGTAAGTGAGTGGTCAGCTTCACGCTCCAGCCGTTTCACCCCCGATACCCACTGGATAGGAGATGGGCACCTGATCCGCTCTTGACTCTGTGGAGTAGAGGAAAATTTCTTTTCCCTGCCTGGAATTGAACCCCTGCCGTCAAGCTGGTAGCCCGTCTCTGTATCGACTGAGCTATCCTGGCCCCTTTAATAGTTTAGCAGGAGGAATCTTTGAGATGATGAAGCAGGCCTAATGTCTAAAAACAAATTTCGGATGATTGTTATGAACTCCGGGAGGTTACACGGCAAAAGTTTCTTCGTCTCTGGGGGCATTCTCCTTATTTTGACAGCAGATTCCAAGGCGTCAGAGAGCAGAGCAACGAGTCGCAGCTCTGTCTGGAGCGGGGACACTCTCGAGAACTGGCCAGTACTCACCAGACAATGGTCGTCATCATCCCAACGGAAGCGACAGTTAATGACCCCATTACACTCCAGTTCCTTCTTGATGCAGCGCTCGTCCTGACAGTCGAACTCTCCAGGCAAGCAACCCCCTGCAACAGTTTTCCTGTTTTATTTCACAGCTTCCTCAAGGGTGAGTTCGGTATCAGATGGCAGAAGGACTGATAATGAACAGGAAAATTGAGGGACAAAGCAGCCATGGTAAAATCTCAACATTTACGAAAAGATATAATTTGGGATAGCCGCACAATAAATAATAAAAAAGAAACAAAATAGGCACTACTGTGTCAAAATTTGTTTTTATCCGTTATCTGTTGTATCGCTACATATTTCGACCCTTTTCTTGGGTTATCATCAGAATATCAACTTCTTTATACAGTGGAAAAAAATTATCCTCGAACAAACTAATTCAAAAAATATCCGTCTACCCGGCCAAGATTCGAACCCTGTATCTAACAATTTTGAAACAGGCGCACTAAATGTTAATAACTTTTAGTATTAGGACATGAGCAATATTTGAAATTGTCTGTCATATGTATATAGCCGTCGGGCTTCTATTGCCTTTTATTGAAATAGGAAGATCAGTTTCTTTTCGCCAAAGATCACCGAGAGGGACGCTTCTTGTATGCCTATTCACTATTCTACTCAAAGGTAAACCCTTTGCGAGACACAGGACAGTCTTTTATAACTCTCTGGGACGGACGAATTTTGGCTTATACACGTATGTATTGTATACACAGTCGCAAGAGCTGAGCGTGTGTCGATTCACCTCTCGTAATATCCACACTGCTGCAGAAGCCGTTCAACTGACATCGGGACTGAGGTCGCTCCAGCACTCGCGAGAAAGTTCTCGAAGGGTGATGCGCCTATACAATAGCTGTAAAGCCCTCATGAAGAGTTCGGTATATCTGAAGTCTCTCAAAGGTGTCAGGCAGTAAAATATGGTCGTGAGTCCAGTGGGACTTAAAACCAAGGGTTACTGTGTTGTGAGAGTCAGCAGCAATTTAGCAGGGGCTGAGTGAGTCAGTCATGAAAGTCCAGTTCAGTGCAGTACAGTGCTTCCGGAACACATATACACAAAACATTACAGACGAACATAACGGCCAACCGCGCAAGAGATTTGACATGCAAGACTAAGAAAATGCACCCGTCAATGGATTCACTTACTTACACAAGAATTTTTAATTAATTGTATAGAGTTTGCCTACCATATTTTAACTTAACTTATTTTAATTCAATTTATAATTGTCTTTATTTTTAATGGTTGAAATCCCTTTATAACATCACGAGTTTTTCAAGCACGTAAAGTGTTTCCTTTGTATTGCTGGCTCTGTCGTTTGATAATGGCAAGTAGCGGCCGAAACATATAAAACTTTTATTAAATAGTAAAATGTTTCACTCGATGGACTTTGATACTTATTAATTTTCTACAGACAGCACGGAGATCGCATAAGCTTTCTTACATTTTTTCGAAATAAGACAAATTGGCTAATAAAACTGACCGCTATTTTAGTGCTGAGTTTCATAGGAATAATATCCCAGCAGCGGATTTACACGTGTTCCAAATGTTCTCTGCTTTGTTTTCTTACCGTCACTGTCTCCATCTTTCTTCCTCTCCCTGTAAGCGGTGTAGAGGGACGAGAAGGTGGAATTCCTGGCCGACCAGTCTGCAAAGAAGCGGACATAGAGGATGTTGTTCCTCGAATTCACCGTTTCTGCTATGGAGCTGCAGAACGTCTTCACTCTGGACTCGATCTCTGTGTTAGGAGAGAAGATGTCCACGAAGTTGTTCACGCAGTCATTCGGCTTGTTCAGGACGAAGGTTGTGAAAACCAGCTGGATCTAAACATCAGTTAAATCTTGGGTTACGTACGGAGAAACGAGATGGGTAGATTGAATGACTCCTTTCGTCAAGTGCAGGAGACAGACTAAACAATAATTTAAGTTATAACGATAAATTCAAATACCAAACTTAATCAAAATGCTTTGAGTAGATTCTAGGATGAAATATTAGGACAAATAGGCGGAGAGACAGAAAGTCTCGACCTTACCAATAATAGCTGAATGTTATGTTCGTTGTACATGAAAAGCACAATTAAGAATATTTGGGTTGGTGACTATTCGATAATAGCTTACCGACTCCACTTAACAAATTCTCTTTCTTATATCCTTGTTTGAACACTAATATCTTACGAGATGTTCGATTTTTATTCTCAATCGGTATGGCAATTTTGTATAGAATGCTTTTCTTTCAAATTTCCTGCAATTAGTATGCGTGTTTTCGTTCCTAGATTTGTGATTTATTTGAAGTATTTTTTTCAGCGTAATCACATATATTTTCTTATTTAAACGTTCTTTCGTCTGTCAGTCTTTCTGTCTTACTCAAATATTGACAGTAGTACTGTATACATGCCTACCTTAATTGACCGTTATTCGTGAAATGTGATATGAACATAATATTATTTCCACTCCCTGCTTTAAATAAACTACATGATATTTTGTGTGGTGGTGCACCATGGTAGAGTACGCTTTTCTAAATAGCTTCCTACCTATCTACCTACCTATTTACTCATCCACCTACATAAGTATCTACCTACCTGAACACCTATCTGCCTACCTACTTACCCACCCACCCACCTACGTAAACACAAACCTATCTACCTATCTACCTACCTACCTACCTACCTACCTACATACCCAACCACACACCTGCCTGCCTACTTAACCACGTACCTACCTAAAGAACTTTCAGCTAAATAACTCAGGGGTAGGTTCATGTTTTGTCAATTGTTTATTTAACGACATTTATAGGAACTATGGATAAATAAGATTGATCCATGGTAGACTAGGCTGCTCACCGAAAATTTGATACTTATTTTGACTTGAAATGAACACTTATGAGTACACGGACCAGATTCGATTTTCTTATGGGATTCATGGTGGGGTTTCGTCTCTGTGGTGCAACTTTCATATATGTTTCTGAACTTCACTTTCTCCTTTGCCAGTGTAATCCATTTGTTCCTTTATGCAGGGTTTGGGTAAAAAGTAGTGGCAACACTGCTGTAAATTGAAAGATGTGCGTCAGGTGGCACTAGCGCCGCCTGTAGCTGATAGCAGAAATTCAGTTGAAGTAGTGCAGTGAGTGGCTCTGGTTGTGTTTCATTGAGTTGCATTGTGCATCGTCTTGAAGTGCAGGAACCCAGTTCAAGCACCCTATCATGTTTACGAAACAAGAACAAAGCTCCTGGATAAAAATTGAAGTTGCACGAGGTCGTAGTGCACAAAACTGTTATCAGGGACTGCGAGAAGCATGTGGTGATGCTGCTTTGCCATATCACACAGTGGCACGGTGGGTGAAATTGTTCCGTGAAGGGAGGGATGCCATTCAGGAGACCCCATGTTGACAACCACACAATTCAGCTTCTTGCTTCTTTGCTGGATGTCGATCGTCAATCGGCTGCGTGGGAGTTAGCTGCTGAGGTAGGCGTATGTCACAAAACCGTGCTCCACATTCTGCACGATACCGCAAAATTGCAGCTTTGGGTATCCCATAAAATGTCCGAGGTGCAACAATGGCAACGTTATGCAATTGCACAGGACTTGTTGGACTGGTATCAGAGGGAAGGTGACGACTTCCTTGGAAGGATCTCGTCACTCTGGACGAAACTTGGGCTCGCTCATACGAACCGCACTTGAAGCAACAATCAAATGAATGGAAGCATCCTGACTCTCCTAGTCCAAAGAAAGTGCGCCCTACACGGAGCAATGTGAAGGCAATGTTCATTGTGGCATATGACACTGATGGAGTGGTACTGCACTGCACCACACTGTACCTCAACGACAGACAGTAAACGCTGCCTACTACTACAATTTCCTGGATAATCATCTTCGTCCAGCACTCAGGAGAAAGCGAGGACACTTGTTGGCAACGAACCCCATAATTCTTCATGACAATGAAAGGGCTTATACTGCTGACGCTGTCAAGAATCTCTTTCGCCGCTGGCGATGGGAGATACTGCAACATCCGCCATACTCACCCGATATGAGTCCATGCGATTATGATCTCTTTGCCAAAATGAAAGAACCACTACAAGGGACATTTTACAACACAGGAGGAGATTATTGGTGCTGTAGGGCGGTCACTGCTGGACATCAACAGAAATAGATGTGCTGATGGTGTACGACGCCTTCCAAAAATTTGACAGAAGGTGGTACACGTGGGGGGGAAATTATATTGAAGGAATGTAAGTGTGTTTACCTCAGGTAATAAAGTCATTTCAGAACTATAGAGGTGTTGCCACTACTTTTTATCCGACCTATTACTACACTTATCTAATCATAATAAAATGGACACGGTAGCCGAGCGGTCTAAGGCATGTATTGTCTTCGTTCGCTCGGAAGCCGGGATCGTGGGTTCGATGTATGTATGGATGTTTGATGTATGTATGCTTTTATTTGTGTTCTCCTGTGTTTAGGTAGGGGCCTTGCGACGAGCTGATCACCATTCCAAGGAATCCTGCCATCTGTAAAATTATCATGAAACTGAGAAATCAGCCCAGTACTCCAAAGTGGGAGCGAGGGGAGCAAAAATCATAAGGCTCTATAAATTCTACCCAAGTAATTTATTGGAATTTTCAGACAAGAGATCAGACAATCTTGAAATAGAGAATAGCACGGAATAAGACAGAAAAACATCCATGTCTTTAGAGGGTTTCAAACCCGATCAAGACACCCATGTCCTTAGAGGGTTTCAAACCCGCCCAAGACAAACATGTCTTCAGAGGGTTTCAAACCCGCCCAAGACACCTATGTCTTTAGAGCGTTTCAAATCCGCCCAAGACAACCATATTTTTAGAGGGTTTCAAACCCGCCCAAGACACTTATGTCTTTAGAGCGTTTCAAATCCGCCCAAGACAACCATGTCTTTAGAGGGTTTCAAACCCGCCCAAGACAAACATGTCTTCAGAGGGTTTCAAACCCGCCCAAGACACCTATGTCTTTAGAGCGTTTCAAATCCGCCCAAGACAACCATGTCTTTAGAGGGTTTCAAACCCGCCCAAGACACCCATGTCTTTAGAAGGTTTCAAACCTGACCAAGACACCCATGTCTCTAGAGCGATTCAAACCCGTCCAAGATAGCTATGTCTCTAGAGGGTTTCAAATCCGCCCAAGACACCCATATCTCTAGAGCGTTTCAAATCCGCCCAAGACACCCATATCTCTAGAGCGTTTCAAGTCCGCCCAAGACAGCCATGTCTTTAGAGGGTTTCAAATCCGCCCAAGACACCCATGTCTTTAGAGGGTTTCAAACCCGCCCAAGACACCTATACCTTTAGAAGGTTTGAAACCCGCCCCAGATCGCATGGCCACAAGATCGAAATTCTCGACATTTTTTTAATTCCTCGCTTTTGGTGAAATTTTTATTACAATATGATTCCAGAAACGACACCAGGAATACTGACAGAGATACACGCGACAGGTTCTGAAACACTAATCTGATAACCCTTGTCCGACACACGGACGGACGCGGCGAAAACTGAAAGCAAAACAACACAGAGGACAACTTCATAGAAATATTTGTGGCAGGGCTAGGTGGTTAGTTCCCATGATAATTCCACTGCATGTTATGGGGGTGTCACCCAGTTCAATGTCCGACCGGAGGCCATGTTACCATGACAAATTTTATAGATTTACACAGTATATTCACGCTGTGCCATACTCACCCCCTTCCTCTAAAGAACGAAGAATTTGGGTTTCATATTTGTACAGCAAGGAAGCTGTTGTTATCTTAACATAACAGCGGGAAATTCTGTAGTCAGTAGATCACAGGAGGTGAAGAACGAGGCAAAGGAGACTAAGTGCAAGGTGCCCTTTTCCTACGACTTACTCCCAGTTCCTTGTTCTTGCCAAACGCTCAAAATTCCGAGTTAGCCTAAAAGAAATAGACAGTTTAAATTACTCGTATTTGTGAAGTTTACACGCGGAGCCCCAAAAAGTCTACAACACGTGCAAGTTTAGAACTTCAAGTTCCACAAAAGGCTGTGTGGGAACATTTTGCGTTAACATTTACGAAGGTTCCCTTACCGGTTGCAGTTATTGCAGAACCTCACAGAAAACGACAAAGCCCTCCGTCACTCATTCTGTATGGACATGCAGCAACGGAAGGAAGTAATGATTTCTTTAACCGGCAGTTTTCGGTGACGAATCAACGTCCCACAATAGCGGTACGGTGAACAAACACAACGTTCGTATATGGGGAACTGAAAACCGGAGAGCTGTAGTAGAGCATGTGAGGGAGTCACCTAAAGTGTACGTTTTTTGTGCTGTATCCCGTAAAAGGGTGTACCCATGTAAACTTCAGGAAGTACTTTTCAAACCATGTAAGTATCTTGGCCATGCTATTAAAACTCTTCTTTGTGTAAAACTTTGAAAGTGTCTATTTCTGTTAGGCTAACCCTATATATCGGGTTTTGCTACAGATCATATTATTCCGTACATCATAGGCCCTACGTAGGTATCCATGAACATGGGGAATTATGTTGCCAAGAAACGTCGTGGAGGGCAAGACTCGACCCTTACGTGAATGGAGGTTAGGGGAACCCCAGCCACCCTCATCACGGCCTAACTCAATTGCCTGCTCCTTCGCCCTGAGATACCGTAAAATGCATTAAGACGCAAAACATTAAGCCTTTCCAAAAGGAGGCATCACAGAGAAGTCTCCAAGTTATACTCGTAGAATTTGTGTCGGATCCTATAACTGCCCTGCCGCAATAATGAGAGTCTATTGGTATGGAAGACGCGCATGCATACAAAT